CCCCACAGGAGGTAAATGTGCAGAGACCAGCACAGGGTCAAGGCCCTGTTACTTAAAACAGAGTAACTCTTCAAGGCTACCAACAAATCTAGCAGGGATTCTACTATGGCATTGTGACAATTAAACTGCACAAAGATAAAAAACAAATAAAGTCAGATTTTTTGAAAAACAGCTATATATTTCAATCAATACCTATACAACAATATAGTCCTGGGCCTTGTACCACTTATGATAAGTTAAGGCTACAATTGTGATAACAAAGTTATGACAAGATTCTAAGAACATACTGAAAGGTAAAGGGAGAAGAAGGCAGACAGAGCCGACGTGAGATGGGTTAACCATCAGACAAGACAAATCAGCAGATGCACACTGCCACCGTTATCAACTCTGTGATTCTTCCGATAGCTAAGCCCAAAGATCACACTGCATCACCTGCTTACCGCTGAAGTGAGAGATTGAAGAGGTAGTTCTGGACCAGAGAGAGTTAGAGACGGCAGATGAAAATGATAAGTATCAGGGCTTGCTATCAGACGTAGCTGCATGTGGTTCCAAACCTAAACCTAGTAGTTTATCTATAATTGGCAATCACTGCCTTTGGAAGTCACCCAAACCCACTGGGAGAGCCCACGATGGGGTGGCAGTTGTCTTCCTAAACCTTAAATCTGAGATGGAGATCTTAAAAAGGGAAAAAAAATGCTGAACAAATACATCATACACTATCTCAGAACAAGGGCCTATGGGAACTAATGTCTTAATTGAGCAGCTCTGTGTTTTTAAAGAATGTGGTGATCATGCTAACTTACAAGTTAGGGACTATGTACACTTATGTTGTGTGTTGTCAGTGTGTCGCTGTGCATCTCCTCTTCTGTAGTGACTTTTATATGGCCTTGGCTGGCGGCAGGGAGCCTCCTCAGTGGCAGACCACTAAGCCAAATTGATTAAATGAAGGCCCTCCTCTTCGAAGGTGTCCGCACTCCACCCCCCCGCACAGGCAATCTCTCTAATGGCCTCCCAGCAACCCTGTCACTGCAGAGCTTCAAGGACCAAGGGAGCAGAGATTCAAGGACCACAAGACCAGGTCAGTGAAGGAATGGACAATTTGCCACTACATTGTTGTTTTTTTAATCGATAGAAGCACCAGAAAGCAGGTTTGTATTGGCTGGAGCTAAAATGGTGAAAAGTGGTCACAGGGTAAAAGGCAAAATGACAGGTTGTCTGTATATATTTTAGTTTGATCTGTAAATTGGCAGGGGGTCAATCATGGAAGTATTATTGCAATCACTGTGATCTTTTGTTTTAAAGCCACTCCACATCAATGTCAGGGTAGTTTTAACCTCTGTCAATAGCACTTAGCTTCTCCCATTTCTGGATTCTATATCCTGAGCAATTGCCATTGAGCCGATAAATACCTAAGAATAAAAAACCCTCACAGTGAAGGAACAATCACATAAAAGTAATTTATGAAAGTAAAGTTCAAGGAACACACCATTGCTAAAGTTGATGTCCAAAACCGGTAATCTGTTGAATACCTCTTTCACACATAGGGATGTAATTCACACTAATCCTTCGGAATGTCCTTCAGGCCATGAAGACATGTGATATCAGCAAAATCCAACATATTTACAGCCTAGGTTCAATGTTGTAGATACAATGATGCTTTAGACAGGGGGAACTGGAAAAACTTTTAAATTTCCGACGTGATCGTATGACACGTTGTATGAACTTATCCTGTTCAAGCATAACTTGATCCGTAACCACTGTAACAGCACTGTGTACTCCATGATTTGGACAATCATAATTGAGTGTTAATTATCAAATAAATCACCACAGTTAAATAACCACATAATCAACACAGAGTCTTCTCCATTTGCTCCTCTGTTTGACCACAGGTGGAAGAAACAGAGAGTACTACTAGTGGTCACTTGGCACAGCGGCCTTCAAATATTTTACTTCAATTAGTTTCAGCCTTACAACTTGTAACTTGCAACTTTTTGCACCATTTCTGTCACCCAGGAGCCTATGTCTATACTCGTGAAGAAACTGTTTAAACATAGAAAAACTTTGACAAATGGCAACCTGCCAGTTATATTAACTCAACTCTGGGTCAAATAAAAGGACCCCTGTGAAACTCCTTGAGCAACAAAGAACAGAACTTTCAATTTCGAAGCTACAAGCACCATTAAGATCCAGTGTTAATTTAAAGTTTCAGACATTTTCTCTTACTTCTGAAAGATTAGAATTTAGTGGTGAGTAGAGTCAGAGGCAGCTCCGGCGTCCGTATAATTACGGGAAAATTACATTCATTATTGTAATTTACATCTCATCTCCAACCCAATTATTAGCAGTTTGACCTGCACGGCACATGTTAGCATAGAAATCTAAAATTTGCTCCCAAGACGGAGGAAAGGGAGGGGTTGAGGACAGAAAGACAGCGAGACAGAGAGTTTGGGACTTTGGGAGTTGTAGGAGGGGAAAAAACAATCAATATGGCTCTAAAAGATGATGATTTTAAATAGCCATAATTCTCTGCCTCAGAGCACAGCTGCCAAGGGCGCCGCTGCAACACTTTGATGTCTGATATGCAATATTGCTGCCAGTAATTTGCTCATCTGCATCTCTGGAGGGACCATCGCCTGTCTGTCTTATTCATCTGCCTGACCATGTGTACGTTACCAGTCAGTCTGGTATAAATTTGTATTCACTACATACATATACACCTTTTGAGGTACTATTGGAGTGGAAAATGTTAGTATGAATTAAACATAGTCTCTGAGGAACAATCGTATCCTGTAAACAATGCAATCTCACTTGCATCTTGTTTGTAATACAGCACTTATGTAAAACTCGCACAAAACAAAAAATATTACTGGCCTTACCTGCCAGACTGCCTAATCAGTCAAAGGTACAGCCTCCTGTCTCTCTTTCCTATCTATCTTCTTCACTGTCATTATCTCTGAAAAACTGTCATAGATATACCCAATCACTATGAAAGACGCAGTGTGTAGAAATTAATCAGTTCTTCTTTTTTGCTGCAATCTTGTCATTACATTCCTTTAATGTAAAATGTACAATTTACTGTGAAGGGTAGGCTTAGAAATGTATGTTTGTGTGGGTGGGTAGGCTTACATAAGCATGACATGCTTGCCACTAGAAAACAATTCAAGTTCCAATGTGAGTAAAAGTCACTTGTCATTCATCTATTAAATAATTACTTTTTATTTGCTTGAATCCCAGGAGATCATAGGTCAGGATCAGCTATACAACAGCAGACTGGAACAATTCATCATTAACTAGCTCAGACTGAAGTCATATTCAAAGATGTGGAGGGCAGCAGGAGGGTGTCAATAAGTGTACTCACTCACATGAACACTGATAGATGCTTTGCTTGTTCAGCTGTTAAGTTACCCTATATTCTGTATAGCTACTGTAAATGTACAACAACCTACCACCATATTCTGCAATTTCAACCATGAAAAGGCAGTGTTAGGGTGTAGCTATAGGTTCATGTTCATGCCCAAAATTATATTTACTAAAAAGCAAGACCAAACTGGTTTTGGACAACCCCTTAATAAGGTGAACTTTCCATGCAAACACGCACCAAGAGGCAGAGAGGACAGTGTGCGAGAGTAGGGGCCAAACTTGGATTCATTGTCTTGTTCAAGGACACTTTAACAGGGCAGAGGCTTCCAACACAGCCTTGAATCGATCTTGTCCAATGGAAGGACATGTTTAAGTCATCCTTCCATCATATATGAACAGTTTTAGAAGCTACTCAGTTCTGCAGCATCTTTGTCTGTGTGAGCGATGAAAAACACGACATATCTCTCAGACACCTAGTCAATATTTGAAGCAAGTTGACAGCAGGTCATATAGCTTCCAACAAACCTGCCTCTCACTCTGAGCTACTGGTTTTACTTTCAGATTGCCTTTGCTCTGGAACAATTTCAATACATCTAACAGACAGGTTGAACCGGGATGCTCTTTTATGTTAGGGTAGGGAGTGAAGTCTACTGTGTATTCAAGTGCATGTGTGAGTCCATGCCCCTATGTGAGTTCGGGTTTGAATGTCTTGGATGTTCTTTGAAGTTTAAGACAGCTCTGCATCAGCTCACTGGTTCCACTTCATGGGATGTGAATATGTGGACATGAGCAACATCTGAGTCACTGACTTGTGTGCGCCAGTTTCTGGTTGTGTGTGCCGTCTGTGAGTGTGTGCATGTCCACCTTGCTCTGGCATGTGTGCTCCAGCTCATGCATGACTGAAAATCCAACCGTGTCTCAATTTCTTCCGTCGTCTCTGTTTCTACCTGTCTGTCTGAGTCAGTACACCACCATTCCCTGGGCACAATGCACAGTCTTGACAGAGACTCGACTCACACACAACACACCTGAAGCATGTCAAGTTAAACAGACGCTGGCCAGAGTAAAAAAAGTTTACTTTGTTGCATTTTGGTATTGTTTCAGTCAGGTTCTCAATGTCCACTTACAAGTTAGTCTTTATGCTATTAACACGTAAAAACAGTTGTGCATGTGTGTCCAGAATGTGGTTTGCATTCAGTTCCTTTTGTTATGCTCAGCTTCCCATAGTAACTTTTAGCTTAAAGATGACAGCTTGATGTAAAACCTTGCATTTTGAATTCCTGCAGGTGGCATAGACTACCTGCTCATTCTTAAAAACACACATTACAGTACTTAAGGTGCTAGTCATGCTGATGCTGATTTTTAACTTTTTTGCATGTTATAATATGCCTTTCAACAATGTCAGTTGCTTTTTGCTAGGTGGTAGGAAATCCACTTCAAGCTCTTTTTTTGTGTGTTTTTCATTGTTAGATTATTAGCAGTTATAGCAGTATATAATAAGCTAAATACATGAGTATTTAATGGATGTGTTTGTTCTGTGTACCATTAACATTTATTGGTACCACAATGATGATAGCTAGTTTTAAAGTCACAGAAGTGACTTATTAGTGGTGATGTAATGATACTTTTATTAGACTCACTTGACCGTAGAGCGGTTGGGGTGACCTCGATCTCACTGTTGGCCTGGTAGGGCTGGAAGGCTGATGCCGAACTCATGTCACTGGCAAAGGGTTCTGGACTCTGTGTACCTGTGGAGCTGGCACTGGTACCATCACCTCCATTGTGAGGATCCTGCTCTTCATATACTGCCACCAGCTGGAGAGAGAAGGAAAACATTTATTTGTGTATTAGAGCAGGTTGTGGGGGATAAATGTAGGCATGTGTTATGTGTCCATATATGCACATACATGAATTGGTGCACATGGACTGCATATAAGTGTGGGTATATTAGTTTCACATTCAGGTAATCTTCCTCAGCTCAAATCAGTCAATCGTGTTGTAAGTCTGGTAGTCTGGTAGCATCTCTCTCTCTCTCTCTCTCTCTCTCTCTCTCTCTCTCTCTACAGTCTAATCTTGCAACATCTGCAGTCATGTAGCACAGGGTGTTCTGGGTTGCCAGGTTTGGCTCCCACGGCGAGCAGCTGCTCCATTCCCACAAAGGTGATACGTTGCCACATTTCCCAGGCCAGATAGGGAGAACTCCCCCCTAGCATCCCGTAATTATCAGAGTCTAACACACACTGCTCATCACTATAGCCAACTTGCCCACTTAACAAGAGAGAGACAGCCGCCTGGATTATCCTGTGCGAGAAACACTAGACCCTGTTTCCTCTTTCACCGGTATATAGAAAATTAGATCAGCCAATGCTGATTGACTACATATGAGTCAAAGCTTACTCTTAGGCTCCTGGACTGAGGGACAGAGAGATAGAGATAGAAAGAGAGAAAGAGAGAGAGAGAGAGGGAGAGAGCAATGAAAGCATAAAGCCTGTAGTGGTGGAGTGGAGGAAGCAGTGCCAAGTGGTTTTCATTGCCAGCACAACCTGTTACTAAACCTCTCACAAGAAGATTAACCTCTTATTCCATCCATACAGAGCAATCATACAGCTGCAGCCTGATACGAACCATGCTATACAGAACAATAGTATGTATATTACAGACTGGAGATGAGTTCCTTTTCATGTCTTTGTGCTACCTGCAAATCTATGTAATGGAAGGCCATGGATGTGGGGAGAGCAACCAACAAAGAAAGCATTAGTCGCCGTTGGGAGCAAACAGCTTTCCTGTATCCCGCATCGTATTTATCTGAAGGTAAAAATAACACAAGTGTTTTTCCATGTATTTGCTGTTTTTCATCACCCCAACGCAGGGAAATCTGCATATAAACAAGTTTAGAAGCCCCTTCTCTTCTTTTTTATTTAATTCATATGCAGAGGATGATGCTTAAGTGTGTATGTGTTTGTGCTCTGTGTTTGAATTTATGCCTTTCTGTGAGTATGCCCATGTGGTTTACTGTTGCTGTAATTCACAGCGACATCTCTCATGCTGGCTTTGCAAAATTAAAGCAGACTGCATTTTTTTCCCTAAGATGTTTCCTTGCATCTCGATGCCGTCTCTGAGACGTACTCTATCACCGAAGGCTTCACCCATTTCACTCTAATCACGTTCCATTCCGATCTTGAAATTACATTCCTCAGGTTGTAAGGGTTTACCACAAATTTGCTCAGTGCGCCAGAGAGGCAATCACAGAGGAGAGAGATCCGGTGCTACAAAATAAGAAGGCCTTAATATTAGAAATCAGGCAGTTTGAGGAGGTAATTTGCTGAAGGTTTGCTCATTGGTAAATGTGTAAATTCACATGTCTTAGGGCATAAAAAGATACTTTGCTTTGTGTTTAAGAGCAAATACAGTTAATAGGCTATAAATATTGATACATTTGGCAAGTGGTGTTTCCTTGTTGCAAGTTGGGTAGTTTTCCTTATTTTTACATCTTATACTTTGATATCTGGTTTCTTTACAAGATGTTAAAACTTTCAGGAGAATTTTTTGAAGGATGAAGTTATGTTCTGACAAAAAAAGTTTGCATTAATGATGAAAGGAGCAGCTATGTGAAGATGCCAAGGCGGCTGTGAACACAGACTAGAGTGAAGGGTTGTCCCCAGAGGTATTTACACTGCCTGAGTGCATGTGCTAGCCAATGAATCATTAGTGACAAAGTAATCAGGCCTCCCATTCATATGTTGCTGGGAGTATTTAGCAACCCGACAAGCCCTCTGCCTGCCAGCTGCCCATTTAGAGAAGTGGTGAATACCGTTGTTGGTGTCGCGGCGAGGCGTGATTCATTTTTAAATACATTCCAAATCCCTCTAATTAGGTCCACTTTGCTATGCCTTGCATCCTTTCACAAGACACTCCAGAGTACTCTGTGGGTATCTGACATATACAGCAAAACTCATCCACACACCCTCCATTTCATAATCAAATAGGCCTGCATTTATATTGCATTCAATATTTATGGGCTCTTGGAAGTGCTTGTCCGTCCCCTAAACCCAAAGAGACAAGAAAAGGTTCCCACTCTTTGGAAAGAAGATTTCTCATTTCCAGGCTGTAGATGCCTTTTTTGCTTCTTGATTGGTTCACCGAAGGTTTACGTGACATTTAGGTTTAATTAATCTCCAATAAAAGGTTTTCAGTATTGCATAGTTTAAGTTATCAGAAAGATATGGGCAGCAGACACGCCTATAGGTGTTACCATAACTTCATCATTTTATCAAGTCTTTAGCACTGATGTATATCATATTAGTATAGTCAACCATGAGTATAATCAAACAAAATGATGTGACCAAACTAAAAAAGTTTCTGGATTCCAAAGTGTGCTTATCTACCAGGTCCAGTTATGCCAGCATTGCCTATAGTCCGTTATTTGGGCTGTGACCAAAACACCACAAACAAGGATGGAAGAAAGAGCTGGAATGGACATAAACCTCCCTGTTTGACTCACACACTTATCATCAACACACATCTGCAGAGCATCTTTGGAGGAGGTATAGGCTGCCAGAAGGGCCCCTTGAAGCCTCCTCCTCTCCTCGCCTCTCTCCGAGCTCTCTCCATCGTCACACACTCTATCTGTGCTGTGGAGAAGGGGGCACTCTTGGCCAGAGGGAAAACTGACGCAATTCTTACTGTTGACGGGACCGAGCTAAGCCATCACACAAGCGCCTTCCCTCCGTCTGGGAATTGGTCACAGCCACTTTAGAACTGAGGCGATTTCACGTTTCAATTTCTTTATTCTCACACTTTCCCCCGTGGCTGCTGTGCGACGAGTTATATTCAGAAGTTTTTCAAAAAGAGGAAAAAGTTTTTTTAGCGATGCACAAACGGGAACAGCATGGCTAATTGTCAAGTGGCGTAACAGCTGAGGCTGAGGACTCAGAGTGGAGGGACAGTGGGAGGGAGGCAGTGAAAGAGTATTTTTAAGAGCCCCTGAATAACAAGAGGCTACCTCCTACAATAAAATACACAGTTATATCAAAACCAAAGGTAGGAGAAGAGGAGAGAGCAAAGGAAAGCACATGACAGGATGTGAGTTGAAGAAATGTTCCAGTTTCCAGTCTCAGGATAAACTCTGGAGCGATTTGAAAAACCTATTTAGCTCCTACCTGCTTCAGTTGAGAGAAGCGAGGAAAAGAGAAGACCTGACTGAGTCTTATTTCATGGGCCTCTCTCTCTCCAGCAGGGAGCTACAACATTGCTGCTGCCTTAAGCCCCTGGAGCAAGGCTGACACTCATCCACTCTCAGCCAGTTCCACTGACTGTCACAGCAGCTGCCAATCAACTGCTATCTACCTGCAAGCCTGAGGGCTGCTGGAGAGAAGCAAGAGCAGAGGATGGAGAGAGATGATGATGAAGGGGTGAGACGAGGCGGAGGAGAGGAGAGAAAGGAGAGGGAAAAGAGAGAGAAAGTGAGGCCGGGCATTCTCTGCAGCCTAGGTACAGGCTGTATTTGGGATTCAGCATTTCCATATCTGTAACGGAGAGAGCAGGGAGACAGGGCACCGAAAAACAGAATCTCAGGGATGCCTTTCATGTTGGCCCCCTTTGATCTCTTTCCGGCTTTTGGCAGCAAGGGTGGAGTAGAAGAAGAGACGGAGAGGAAGCAGCTGAGGAGGGGAGAAAGGAGTTGTTTTGACAACCTCTCTCCATCTCTTTTTTCTCTCTTCAACGAGCCCCGCACCCCTTACCCCCCTTCACCAAACACACCCCTCCACCTCTGATCTGCCAGGAAGCCTGGGCATTAGGACTGGCACCGGTACAAAACAGCCGTCGCAAAGCATTCGCCAAGCGACGCTACGAAGACACAAGACAACAGAGGTTATTAGTAGTCAGGGAGCAGCGTTGGCAGTGCCACCAGAGACATGTAAAACTTGCCCTGCAATGCTCTGACGCTAATCCATATCTGCCATTACAGCTTTTTCACAGCCGAGTGGAAGGGACGGCTGACATGAGTCAACCCGCGGGAAACCTGTCCGCTCAATCCACACCTTCAATTAAAGAGAACATCCAAAGTCGTGCCACGCTACGTCCTGCTGTGAATATTTATTGCTGCACAAAAAGTCACCCCTAGAGGCTAGATTAATATTTATTCATTTGTCTGTCGTGCTTTTTCTTTTCCCCTCCAATCCAAAATGCTGTATGTTACTAATAAGCAGTGACTATAACCTAAATAATAGGCAGATAAGCTGCATGTATTGAGATGAGTTTACCCTCCCTGATTCCTCCACTTCTATTTGTGCTTTGAAGGTGCAACACTTTGGTCAATGAATTAATTGTTATGATGAATAAGTTAAGTTATGCAATGCATCATTGCTGAGGTAACTTACATATACTGTCTCTGCCAGAAAACACAAACTCACACAAACCCTCACACACACACACACAGTCCAGGTTTCATCCTCCCTCCCTATCATTTATCATCATTTTATTGCAAGGGCACCAGGGGCGCAAAGTTATTACAGGTACAGTAGCAGTGGAAACTGTGAAAGCCACTTACTCCACCAGAAACTGCAACTCTAAACTTGTTGAGTAATAACCATGAGCCACTATCCTTCATCCACACACCACTCATCTATCCATCCATCTGTCCATCCATCCATTTGCCCCCTTCGACACTCGCCATTTATCAGTCATGGACCCTTTAAGCATACATCAAAGACTTTTGATCATCTATCGGTATGCACAGATCAACTCAATGCAGCCCTGATATGATTTACACTTCACTGCAGTGACTGTACGTGGTCTTTTCATTTCCCTCTAAG